CAAGTATGAAAATATAAATTTTTAAAATTCCTAACTTTTGACATAATGGTATTATGAGGTGAAGTATGGCTATGGAACGAAAAGGGCGCTCAACTATTCCGGCAAGAATACTTGCTGACTCTTCGGTTCGTCGCAAATATTTCTGCACTCCAAACTATTATGTTTTAAGATGTTTAATGTGGGTTTATTTCAAACTATATAGTGCTTCTGATTTAAAGATATTTAGCAAAGACAAAGTTACGCACTAACTACGGGTCCTGTGAAAATCAGTGTTAGTGGTGGATCTTAAAGTTGATTTAGTCCCATTTTTGGTTAAAGTATTTTTTTTATATATTGCTTTAGTCAAATAAATATACAATAGTAGGCATAAAACCTCTTTTTGTAGATTTTGTTAAGCATTGTTCGCGTGACCTGCACTGTATATTATGTGTAAATGGGTCACATTTCTCTAGAAGTGTGATATTTTTTAAATAAATATTCAGCAAATCAAAATTAAATAAAACAATTATTCAAATTCAAATGCCTTTTATTGCCAATCTTAAATAACATTAAGCTGTGTTAGTATTTGGTTTTCTTAATTTATTGTTAGTGTTATAGTTGAAATATTAAATAAATAATTGTTTCTTTAGATGGGTACCCGGTTACGGGTAAAGGCCTCCTCCATGTTATTTTGCCATATGTGTCAGTTCTGGGCGGCCCTTGTCAAGATGTTGCCGGCAACGTCAAGTATATCATCTCTCCATCTCATAACGGGATGACCTCTGTTCCGTCGGCCGTCTCTGGCCGTCTCTCTAAAATAATTATAGTTGGTGTATTGTTGTTTCTCCAGAAATCAAATCTTTTATCTATGAAGATAGACGCGCCCGACTAAGACAGGTAAATGTGTACTGGTTTCAAAATTTCTAAGGAAGAAATGAACGATGTATAGATGCGAATTTAGCACTCGTCCGTACGGCGAATGAAATGAAAACATCGTGAAGAACTGGCACGCCTTAGTACAGCACAAATGAACGGCGTGTATCAGGCAGAAGGCTGGACACCTAATTGTACATACTCATCACGAAACAGACAATGAAATTTGAGGCCAAGACCTGGAGAGATTGTAGTGCCAAATGTATGTGAATAATGGTTAATTGAAAACAAAGTACGAGGTATATAAACCATAGTATATGCGCCTCATTCATTTATCTTAATGCGTAAAATCTGACAAAGCTGACCGATACAAAACGAATGAACTATATTGCAGGCTGCCAATCCCATTCGCGATTGACGGATATGAATTCATGGACAATATGAAAATAAATCTTTGAATATAAGCTGTTCATTTACGAACGTTTACTATGAGCTTCAAATATAAAATACCTCCTATATATCTCTATATAACTGTTTAGTCTTTATATATATAATTCTTCTGTGAGTGTGTATGTCACTGAACTTCTCTCAAACGACTGGACCGATTTTGATGAAATTTTTTGTGTGTGTTCAAGGGGATCTGGGAATGGTTTAGATTCACAAATCAGCCCGGCAGATGGCACTGCAGTCGGTACTTTCATACTTTGCTTAATATCCTAATCGCTTTAAATATCATGCAGGACAACGTCTGTGGGGTCCACTAATTTAATATATTTCAGTACACAAGAAATGCAAAAACAAGATGTACTAACGTATAAAAATATTCACAAACTAACTACATATTTATTTAACGCTTTCCTATATTAAAATCATATTATTTAGGATACGATATGTATTTGACAGTTATCTTGTTATAGTATCTAAGATGATTGTCTAATGTTTCTTATTTTTTCAGTTCTTTTATCAATAAACTTTTCACTTATTTCTGGGAATTCAACATTGACATTATAAAATGATTTATTTAATGTTTAAAAAAGCGAGTTATTTCTCGATCGCCCGTTAGTAAAATACCTATTTTTTGCATTCGATAATAAAACTGTGATTCACGTCAGCCGCAGAGCAAACTTTTTTAATTATTATATGTAAAACTGGCGCGCTGAGTTTAATATTCTGTGGACTTATTTTTATAGTTACTTGGACAAACTATAAAAATAAAAACTTTACTCATTATGCTTGGGATAAAAATGTTTCTATTTTAAAACCGAATTTAGTTTTACAAATATAAATTACCAAATTTATAAAACTCTTGGTTATTCTTAAGTAACCCGGTTCACGAAAATATATTATATTTGAAATTTAAAAAAAAAACTTAAAAATTTACAACACGCTTTTATAAGGACAAAATACAGTGCTATCTTAAAATATAATAAAATATTTTGTTCATTCAACATTAGTTTACATCTTTTTCCCAGTAGAGCGGCAACTCAAAACTTAACCATTAAAATCTGTCCACAGCCGACGAAAGTATAATATGTGGACAAAAATCTATTTTTCTATTAAAGAAAAGGTTTAATAGAAAAAGTTTAGGTCTGCGCCTCAGAGTTCTGTATGTTTCATGATCATTTGTTAATCTAATAGGCAAGTAGGTGATCAGCCTTCTGTGCCTGACGCACTCCGCCGACTTTTGGGTCTAAGGCAAACCGGTTTCCTCACGATGTTTTCCTTCACCGTTCGAGCCATTGGTGCACAGCCGGGAATCGAACCTTCGTCCTCAGGGATGAGGGTCGCACGCTGAAGCCACTATGCCAACACTGCTTTTTCTATTAAAGAAGCCTGAATAAAACCTGTCTTAAATATACACAGATAAAGATGGTCTTCTAAGTAATATTTACAGCTAAGTAAGGGGCTTAACCGCAATCGCATTAAGAAGCGCACTTCAGCTCGCACTCTAAGCTCTTAACCTTCAAGTTCTAAAACGTATCAATTAGGACGCCATTTTGATCGCTAATCACTCCCGACATAGTAAAATATATTTCAAGGTCAAACTATACACGAACGTGACCTCTGTGACAGACTTATTTAGTGATAGTAATAAGACCGACTCGTATGAGCCTGTGTTGTCGTGTATCACAGACCTAATGGCATCATAGCACAGATATATCTATTAAAGAGTACAGTGATTTGTACTAGAGAATGCAATTATTATATTTAAGTAGTAACCTATTTACCTAATATAGATATTTCATAACAAATATAATTTGCAATTAGCGAAACAAAAATCTCTCAAAAAAATTTCTTCCGATTAATTTATTTATTTATTAGTAATTTTACAACTAACACACATATTATAAAACAAATCACTTAGACAATATATAAGCCAAAACAGATTACATAGATAAACAATATATATGAAACAGAAAACATAAGTAAGTATATTAATAGGCAAAAATATAAAAAAAATGAAAGTATTTAAACTTAATATTTCAAAGAAAAACCTTGATTGTTACTGCTAAACAAAGTCAGTCTTCCCGCCTCTTCGAATATTTCCTCACATCCTCTTTGGTGAGGTGGAAAATATCAATATCTTCATAATTAGAATTGCTACACAGATGCGCTAAGATCTGCTCTAAAGTCTTCGACCGGTCTCTTTAAACCTTATAATAGTAATAAATTGTTTATTCAGCAAACAGTGGTTTATACGATGGATATAAACTTGTGTACTATGTGCTGGTACTACTTGATTCAAGGCCCAGAACTGCCCTGCGATTCTGACTGATTTGAGAGCGACCGCCGATGCGAAAACCGCTGTGTGAGTTCGAAAAGTGAGTTACAGAATCGCAGGGCTGGAGTCACAAAATCACACATGTATTGTTGTCACTTATTATTTTAATTTTAGACTATATTGATTTCTAGCATCAAAGTCACTTAAATAATATAAATGCACATTGTGTTTGCTTTATGATAAAAATTAACATATAAGGTGCCACTTTAGGCCGTAAACATCATAATATTGTTGAATTTATTTTCATATAGACAATTTTACGTAATCAGTCGACTATATTTTAAAAGCTCTTTTTTAAATAAGTAAAATAATTAAGCAATTATATTTTGATGAGATGCAATCTGCTTTTCAATATTTATTGCGTGCATATTATGTTATTAATGGAATAAAAAAATATTTAGTTAAAGAGATTAAATGAAAAAAAGATATATAGTGCCACAATTATTAACTATCTTTAACGCATATAATATATAACGCGTTAAAGCGGAATGTATTTACAATGGGCTTGGTGATTTTTCAAATTGGTCAAACAAAAATTGAAAAAAAACCGCACCTGTCGTTGTTGTATTTTCGTTAGGAAATAAATACAACAAGGGCTTAAATACAAAAAAGGGTTACACATTTCATCCTTGTTTTACTTTTATGATGTACCGACTTCATTTGGAGTAATATCTCTGTGGCCATGGCGTGGAAGTACGATTTTAAATACCTAGATGTCTGATCGTCAATCGCACGTAACACTAGTAATGAAAATTCGGCATTAGAGGTATTTTGTATATGGGTTTTATAATTATATATGTACTGCATACAAAGCAAAATCTAAGTTAAAACAAAAAAGTCGTATACAAAACTTACAATACTTAATCTCTGTGTGGTAAAGAAAAGAATCAACACGCTGACCTCAATAGCAAAGACAAAAGAGAAACTATTTCAAAAAGGTTTCTGGAAAGTATATTATATTGAAACTAGAACTCTTAACAAAAATTCATGGCACGAGCCATCTAAGCGAGTGAAGGAAATCCGTTCCGAAAGAAACTTGTGCCCTAGCTGCCATGAAGATGTGCTAAATGGGAGCTCGGAAGATTGTTTTGAGTTCTTGGAGTATATAAGAGTTTTACTTTTAATAGTTTTCTCCATGTCGAATATTTTTTTGCTCTGATGTAGTTTTGTATTAACAGAATATTTTTGTTTAGGTTTTCAACCACGAGATGTGAGTTCAATCTTTGGCTGTGCATAGATCCCCGCGTCGATTTACTAAAAAAATAAACTTCAAGGAAAGATCACTTCTGGTTTTGAAGTGATTTTTACAAACCAAAAAATTACTTTGAGCAAACAATAACACATGAAAAACTATTGCTTGTTACAGGCCTCTTGTTCCACAGAGCTGTTTTGATGTCAGGTTCTGGTCTAAGCCCCTGGTCACTGGTTGCTGATCCCAATAAATACGCAGCACTTGTTGCCTCACATGCTAACTGTTCACCAGGTAAGAAATCGAATTTATTTGTTAATTTAGCAGATTTTGATATTTTTATCACCTAACACAAATGAGCAATTAATGGCGTAATTGTAGTACCTACTTAAGTGACTGGATAAAACTCTGTTATGAATGAACCAACAAATAAAATCCAAAATATTTCCCGAATTACTACAATTTTACTGTACCTGTACTCCACCTATACAACAACATTTTATTAATATATTTTTAGCGCATGATATAAAATTCGTTTATTAAAACCTAAACAATCAAATATACAGTTTTTACAAGTTCATTAACCTACATAGTAACAATAAAAATAATTTCAAATAATAATAAGAAATTTAAAGTTTGGTCCCTGTGGCGGGTATCTTTAACGCTGGCAGCATTTCCTCGCTGTATTGCGGTATTTATTCGTTGAGCGAGGAAAGCACCAGCTCTGGGGTCACCGGTACTATCTACCAGGCGCCAATCTTTCATTAGTGCCTGTGCACTTGAACCTCACGGCCCAAGAGTCTCTACTACAAAGGGAACGAAATCAAAGTTGGAGGAAAGGCTCTTATATTTGAGCCGTCTATTATTTTCCGCCTGCTCTGCAGCCGCCCCAGATTTTTTGCTTGTCCGAGGGAGGTGAGATGGGGCAAACTTGTCAACACAAGAAGCATCCCTTACCAAAGCCCGTCCCATCATCCAAGGGATTAACGACATCCCATCCGGCCGCTTGCTATCGTCTCTATTTTTATTATATTATATTTTTCTTCCCACAATTTAATTTCTTATAAATTGTATGCCTAAATATCAGTCATTTGTTGGAAAACACATGCATGTAATGCTAGGAAAGGGTTAATGTAGTTTATAATTAGAAAGTTCAATACAGAACAACCAAAACCTTAAACTTGTATATTTTACAGATCTGACACCGCCAGCAATTCTACGTTGCTTACGAGAGCGTCCATTGGAGACACTATTGTCAGCACCAGTCAAGGCACCAGACTTTTCCTATGCTTTTGGACCCAGTGTTGATGGAGTTGTGATCGGTAAGTTCAGGTTAATCTTCTTGCTTTGTAAATATTAAATTTCATAAAAGACAAATATTAAAGTCAAAGTACGCTTGTGCTTTATTTGACTTTAATAAGTTATTTCTTTTAGAGACGGTAAAAATTGCGTCCCAAAAGTAAAAGGAGATTGATGAATAGGAAAACTTAAAACAAAATTGCAAATGTAATGCTTTGTTACAAAATTTATGTGTAATGTAAATTAAATAAACAAAAACAAAATCAAAAATCAGTCCTTTATATGTATATCATCTATACATTTTCGAATTAAAAGTACTGAATTAAAAATCTTGAAAACAGTTTAATAATTCAGAATGTACATTTTCGCGTAGTGCACTACCTGTCACAGCAAGTTTCAACTATCGGGGAGCGATGCGAAAATCATTACAAATTCTCAACGAGTCTCAAAGTCTGAACAAAAACATTCCAATTTCTATCCAATAGCTTGTATTAAAACAAATTAATCTTAAATATTATCTTTATATTCTGCTTAATCGTGAATTGCAATTTTAAGATATGATTGTGATTCATGCATGCACTAGTTTTTAAACATTAGCTTTAATTATGTTAATTTTACCAATAGTTATTTTCCCTACAAATAATTACCTGTTACCTCAAGATTGTTTATTAGCTATTAATAAGGTCGTCCGTTGCCTTTCTAATAATTTATATTACTTTATTATTTTTAATGCAACGAAGTTGTAATACAGTACATAAATATATTACGTGTATGTTCTGGATAAAATTTTTCTTCATCTTCAAAAAAGAACGTCTTTAATTTTAAAACGACAGCAACACACACGCGTTATAGTGTCATTTATATGTCACATAAAATGAGGCGTCCTATTAAATTATACATGCCTCCATCACTATATAATAACTTGGATTTATCATTTTATTAAAACTTTCATAAAATAAATGTTATGGTTACGCTATGAAGTTTTAAATCAAAACGATATAATCTCTAATACACGTATAATGGGTGTAGTTTGAAATCACTAGTAGTAAAGAGGATCTGATGTAATCCTATAAAAGTTGTAACCGAATTATGCTGTATTGCACTATTCACGTCACGCGCTGTCCACCCGACACTTGAGAATTTTCACAAAGCCCTCGCTCGCTTGGACATTGTTTAAGAGTTCCCAAAGTGATATTAGTTTTCGACATTCTCGTTAATGATTCGGGTACACTGTTTTGCAGAAATAATAAAGAACAAAAGCATGTCCCTGCAACAATTTCGATGTAAAATTAATTATTACAATTGTTCAAAGTTAACAATGCTTATTACGGTCAAACGTCGTCTATGTTGTTTGTGACAGCAAGGAGTTTTCATATTGTATTCATTATTTTACATCACATAGTCTTTGGTATATTACAATTGTCTGTTATGATTGTGTTGTCATAATCTGTGGCCGCGGCCATTTTATGACTTTGCGCTTTTGATATTATTTATTAGATTAAACCCCTTTTTTATCCATTGATGAAATGAAACTGTATTATAACTCGTATGATTCTATTGAAACGTGAACATTTCCATTACTAAATGTTACTCTGCAATCACTTTATAAGCTATTTACATAAAAAAGTATTCAAAATGTCTATACATTTTTGTTGTACAAAAATACCCATATTGAACGAAAATATTGCACAACAAAGACCAAACCAAACAGGAAAAGAACTGCGGAAACTCAATTGATCCTCATAAGAGAAATAAAAGATCAATCAGTCAGACCCTTGATGAATCAATCAATCTGAACCATAGAGTTTGTAATAAAAAAATTCACTTCCGCGAATCGTTTGATGACATATTGTCTATTACAAATTGTAAATTGCTTGCAATCTATATTGTCTCAGGAATTCAGTTATACTAACAAGCAGTCAAAACAAGCAGTCAAACCAAACAGTTTTGTTTAGAACTGTTTCCGTCTCAGACCAATAATAATTGGAATTCTCTTGTACAATCCTTACGCATTATAAATCGAAACTCACGACCGTCCGCTTCAGTATGAACACGATGAATTCAAATACTACCGATTGGACTTTGGTACTGTTTTCACAAATAGGTGACGTGATTCCTGAGAAAGGTTTATAATTTTTATTATTCTCTGTAAATTGTCTATTAGGATTATTGTAGAGGTCACAAAAAATCTTTCCGAAACACACTAAATTTACGCAGGTGAAGCTGCGGGCGAAAGCTTTTAATTTATAAACTTTATATTACGCTTTCTAGAAGTTTGAAAATGTATTTTTCCAACTTAATCTTTAAAATTTGTTTTGTCCCATTTAAGCTTCAACAATCTGGGGTTCAGGGCACACGACCGACCAATTAAATAATGAGGCGCAATTACTTTCTTTCATCTCCAGAATACGACATGGCGAATACAACATCAAATACTAATTATAGAATTTCACTTTACCGGCCACAAATAGAGTAACCATTGGTTTCGTTTCCGCCTACGTCCGTTCTTGTCGCAGTACTGGAGAACAAATTACAAATTTAATTATAATTTGCACTACGACCGGCGAATCGAACGAAAACCAAACGGAACTCCATACTCATGTACTTTTAAGTTACATAATAATAACATTTGTATCAGTAACTATATATTATTGGAGTCAGAAAAAGAGATTCATGATAAGTTTTCGTAAAACGGAAATACTTGATAACCGGCTAGTTTGAGAACCTTTTTACGACTAACATTCTGGAATGGAGACCTTACGCTGTACAAAACTTATCAAACCATAACGATAAATTGTACGAAAAAGTATTCTGCCGACAACGCGCTTGAAGCTCGTGAACGAATCGATGTGACGATAAAGTTGCTATTGATCTAAGTTTACAAGTTGCGATTCAATTACATTTATAGATTGCGTCAGATTTAATACGAAACTTAGATATTGCAACTCGAGAATTTACCATTAAGCATCTTGACATTATTAATACAGATATAAAAGTAAATATAAACATGATCTTATTAAATTTTTAGGCAGATTTGACATTAGTTCTAGCGACAATGGGAAAATAGAGTCTAAACATGTGGAACGTATGACTTTCTTATGTCGAACTTTTTTGACAGATTTTATAATTCATATATTATGTATATAGCTATAGATTACAAGAAAGTGTATAATTTGTAATTTCACTTCAATCAAATTCAGTACAAATATGATTAATCATTCATATCCTAGATTTTTATAACCATTTAATGAGTAATTTGTAATAATTTTCAATAAACTTAGTACAATGTACCGACCGTAATCAATTCCTTCGAACTTAAACAACTCCGCAACTAAAAAGCTGTCATCTCAACATTTGCAGACGTTCCTTAAATAACTATTCAACTATGTGCTCTCGTTTCTCGCTCGAATGGCATGTCTGGGGTTGATAGTTGTAGATTTACCAATTGTCCGCAAATTCTTCAGTTGACAACCCCAAACAATATTAAATTGAGTCAGAACTTTTCTCATCTCATGTTGTTCTTAGAACGTTAGAGGATTCCTTTGATTCTTAGTTTTTTTCATATCAAAGACACTTACTTTTGAGTTTGTTATGATTATTTCGACGAAATATTTTTTTACCAAATATTTCTAACAAAGGACTAGTACTCATACAAAATGCTAGGCAGTTATATTATGATTTTGGGAACAAAGCTGGTAAGTTCAGATTTCATAAATAAATCTCTCATGCGAATTATTATTGATATTTTGAGAGTTTTGTCAAAGAGATTTTGTAGGTCCATTTATGTAACACTGAATGTTACTTCATTATTAAGTAAAACTAAAAGCTCACTTATTAATGAAATCAGCTAAAATTACGTAAATTGGACCATTTTTCAACATTCTGTTATGTAGAACTGAATCAAACTTAACTGCGCTTTTGTAAAAAATATTGTACATAGTATTATTTCGTTACTTTAGCGAATACATTTTACACGAAGTTACATAGTTTATGTTTAAATATTTGCAGAGCAACTAATATTTTTGTTTTATATAGCTTATTTTCTAATAATTTGTAAAACGATGTACACAGCTACCCTACATTAAAATTAAATTGTCTAATGTAATTCTTTGATAAATAAAGTACCTTTGAACCGAACTTAAATCTAGTTACTAGAGCGGTCGAATCATTTTATTTTAAGAACATTCTTGATTGAATTTCTACGTAAAGAAACAAATTCACTTTGTAGATGACTAGGGAAGTGAATTTGTTAGACCATTATGAAATAGGGTTTAAATAAAGGTTCGTAATCCAAATCGTGACCAAAGACCACATCGTAAATTAACTCATTTCAAAGGAGCTAAAATTTACTGATGGAATTTTTAATTAAATAATCGTGTTCTGGCTCGTTGTAGCGTTATAAATAAATTCCATTTCTAATTATACAACGAATTTGTAGTGGCTTAAGATTAAATTTGTTACTTTGTTAGTTTGTGTTTTAATCTCTAGGGTTTTCAAAGGTTAATTTTCTTTAATAATTTATAGAAAAGTTTTCTTTTAATATTTAATTCAGTGGTTTTTGTTACACTTTACTTTTGGTTAAACTTACTTTTTGTTTTATGGGACTCATATATAAATACGTAATATATAAATTTTGATAAAAATTTTGATTAGATGATGTCATAATTGTTAGAATTGGCACTTTATTAAGGTGCGTACAGACTATATAACACAACATGTTATACAACATTGCTATACAACATGTTTCAGATAATGTGGACACTGAATGTTATATAACATGTTATAATAACATGTTATTGATATGTATGCTAGGACGAACCCAACATCTACGTTTATTTGTTTTTCTTTTGTTATTTAAAACCATTTTAAAACCATATAACATTGTTATATTGCATTGTTATTCTAATGTGTACAGTATTGTTTTATGTTATAATGTTGAATAACAAGGTTACATAATGTGGACGTGTTATAAAACACAAGTTATATAATATGTTACATAGTCTGTACGCACCCTTAGTGCCGATTCCGGGCTTATATCCGAAATTTAATTAATATTACAGAATTGCCCTGCAGTTGTAGTTATTGGATCAGTACGCTTGGTCATTTTATGTCTAAGCATTTAACGCACTTACAAGCCCGTCAATCATGGTTCAAATAGTTGATTAATATGTGTATTTCTTTCAAAGATACAGGTGACATGATGGGAAATCCTGAATCAGGTTTTGAATGGCAAATGTCCAGAGCCCTTCATGGAAAACCGGCAACTGCTGTCAACATCATCAACGCTGTGCTTATGAGGGAGAGTGCTGTCAATCAACTAACCAAGTAAGTTATGTAAACTTACTAATTCCATACGTCAGTGGCGTGATGCTCACGAACACTTAGGTTTAAAGACTTGATTTCTCAGAAAAGACAAAAATGTCACTTACATGCGAATAATACTTAAGATTAGGTTTAAGAATAACTTTATTTCTCATAAGATTTGCATACGTAATTCACTTACTGAGAAACAATATGTTGTTGTGACAAAGATTCATAATTAGAGCGCACAGATGTACGTATATAAAATAACAAAACAAAAAGCCACAAAAATGTGGGTAGACATAATAAGCTCGATCAGTCAACCAAGCAGATAGATGTTCGAATTAGATTTTTTACTAGATGTGGCATTGATGGCATAACCAACCTTTAGGTAAATTTACTTTTGCGGTTTGCCTGTAGTACAATAATGATTCCAAATCATGAATATCAGCTACTAGGACCTTCGGGCCTGTCAGTAATTGGTTTGACCAAGAACCAGTGACGTGTTGGAGGAACCTCTTCCATTCTCGACAACTTATTTCATTTCAAAATGTCGAGAATTATGTTTTGTTTTAAATACCCGCAAACTCCCAATAGGGTACGGATATGTCGCGTCCATTTCATTGATAATAATTCATAAATTCACGAAACACGTTTTGTTTCACCGAGCCTCATGGAGTAATCAAAGTTCAATTTCAAAGCCTTTATTTTCAACTAATACAAGAGAACAAAATATAAATTTATATTAAAAAAAGTTCAACAAGCACAGCTGTCCTCTTGTATAGCTTGCCTTTGTGGCACAAAGGCCTCCTCCAGCTGTTTCCATTCCTTCCTATCCCTTAATGTTCTTGAGCGCCTCTTCCAGTTCCATAAGTCGATCGCATGTTCTTAGTGTTAGTACGTTGAGCGTGCCGATATAAATATTGTTGTTTATTTGACTTCGTTGCTTTGGCTCTCTCTGGGCTTTGGTAGGTTGGGTTTTGGTAGGTTTGGTTTTGGTAGGTTGGGTTTTAGCTGGTTCGATTGTTTCAATGTGAATTTTAGAGATTTCTCTAATCAAAGTTATACAGCATTAAATGCTATGTAAGCGAAAAATAAAATAAACCGTTATTTCACTGAAAGTAGAGCTTCTACGTGGAGTAATAATTCAATTTAAAAATCGAAGACCAATTTTCAGATATGACCTCATGCTGGGAGTGACGAAGGCTGAGGCTTATTTTGCATTCAGCGGAGATGATATCCTATTCGGAATAGAGGCGGATAGGAGATCAAAAATTCTTAAAGCGTTTGTTAGAAATACCTACACTTATCATCTGTCCGAGATATTGGCTACAATCATCAACGAATATACCGATTGGGAAAAGCCAGTTCAGCATCCAGTTAATATTAGGTAAGTTATTATAACTTATTTTGTAATATTTATTTAGTTAGCTTACATACTAAATTTCCAATGGAAAATCCAGTTTGTCAGTTCTAACTTAACAAATATGAATTTAAAATGTTTTAATGATGTTTTCTGAACATAAGTAAGGTGACGTGTTAACTAATCAAACTTAAAATAATTGCAATGTGCAATATTGCAATTTAAAATAAAAATAGTATTTAATAATTTAGTCCATTATTCATAAAAACATCACTTGAATGAGTTTTCTCTGTATTGAGAGACATACCTGTTTTTGTGTTAATTAATAATATACATGAATTAAGTTACTCATCTTCTAAGCAAGTATATATATTAGTCAATGTGTTTACTGTAATTTACATAACCCAAGAGCAAAGGTACGTTAGCCAACAGTACTTAATGTAACATTTATCAACAGAGACGAAACACTAGAAGCATTAAGTGATGCCCAAGTGGTCGCTCCAATTGTACTAACAGCGGACACTCATTCTGCGCTGAGAAGGAACTCGTACCTTTATGTCTTCGACTATCAAACGAAGAATGGAGATTATCCACAGGTGAATATCTAGTCTTATGTATTAAAACAAAAATAAAATATCGTTCTAAATTAAATTGTCTACAGATGTGTTGTGACAAATACTAACGAAGGAATTTAGACATTACAAAGGAGTGTCAAGAGGTTGTTGGATGATCCGCCATTTAAATTTCAAAGAACACACGCGAATGATAACACATCTAACATAAAGTATATTACCCACAATGCACAGAGATCGGGGATAAGGAACACATTCTTAAGTCTAAATTTATTGGCCTTTTTAAGGGGATGCAAATCCTTCTAAACCAAAACAATATATTGGCGGATTCATTTCAAGACGTAATTCAAAAATACAATACGAGCTGTGTTGACCTAGAGGCTAAAGCGTGCGAATCTCATCCCTGAGGTCGTATGTTCGATCCCCGGCTGTGCACCAATGGACTTTTTTTCCATGTGCGCGTTTAACATTCGCTCGAACGGTGAAGGAAGACGTGAGGAAACCGGCTTGCCTTGGACCTAAAAAGTCGACGGCGTGTATCAGGCATAGGAGGCTGATCACCTACTTGCCTGTTAGATGATATTGATCATGAAACAGATACAGAAATTAGAGGCCCAGGCCTAAAAAGATTGTAGCGTCACTGATTTATTTATTTTAATGATACAATACAATTAATGGTATAAGCAACGGAACCACGGAGTTCGTAAACGTACTCATACAACTTCTCTTACAGAGTACATAGAAATATATACACGTGTTCACCGCAACTTTAATTATACTAAATTTAATACTTGAAAAATATTTTCCGAAAAACTCGTGTTTTACTGTTTAATTAATTCTCTTTTTCGAAGTAGAACTCCACTCTGACATAAAAATAGAACCTACAAAAGCAATTATGCTATTCATAAAACATCAGCTGACACCGTTTCTTTATTCCATTCATGTTACTGGAGTTTGAATTTCAAATTTTATACATGTTATTTAGAACTTGATCTTTCCTTAGAGAGTGTATTTAATTCTTAAAACATACATACGACCAGCCCAAACATACTAGACCCTAATTACATATATTTGTATACATAGAAAATTCAAAACAGCAGTCGGAATTAATAAAAGACGTAGAAGGCTCTTTGATATGGAAAACGCCTACGCCTCGTAGTTATTACGATTTGAACATGGTATATAGAGACCAGACGGTATTTAGATTGTACATTTACGCAAGTATAATGTTGATAATTATATCCACACATAATCTTCTCTATTATTATCTTTCTTCAAATTGTATCTATAGCAAATACCAAAGAAGATTTTAAAGATGTATGTCCCGAATGAGTAGTGTAAGCCTAGTGGCTGGACGTACGCCTATGAATCACGAGGTCACGAGGTCGAACACAGACCGAAAACATTGTACAGTGCCCCAATCAACGGCGTCTGCCAGCCATAGCATCCTGATCACCTACATGCCTGTAAATAACAAAAATCAGTGAGATTGCAGTGCCAGTTAGGAAATTATTTAATCTTAGACGTAACTAACAATGGAGTAAATCAAATTACAGAAGTTACTCAAGAACTGGATATTTCAGAACTTTTAGTTTAAAAATTAAACAATTAGCAGCTGTTTTCCTTTATTAAGTCATGCAATTAACCCTATTAGGGCTCCTGATAGAAGTTAGCGACTGGGTCCTGTTCAAATTCAGTTTTTTGACCTAAGGTAGGGGTATACTTTAGTGACGTTTACAATGAGCATTTAGCGGTACCTATTGTTTCGCCAATGCTTCTATCCTTTACAAAATGCGCACAGTTTAAGGAATAATAACCAACATAATTCCTTAATGCTAGTTTTAATTCGAGTTTAATCTTCTCCTTAGGACTGAAGTGAAAGCATTTATAACAATGCTGGCGTACTATCGGCCTTATTCCAACACAAATGACTAGAACTGCACATTAATTGTAGAGCTAATTACTTTTTTTCTGTTAAGTACGGGAAGGTGATTCAAAACTGTATTTAGGATATTGGGCAGATACGTTTCTGAGTCTGTTTCGTTGACATTTGACTTTGACAACTTATAAATGATAAATATAATATGTAAATTACATTTTTAAGTATGGATCAAAATGTATGTTCTTATTTCAAAAGTTCTCACATAAAATAAAATTATAGCAATTCCATTCTGCCCTTTTTCTTCCCCTCTTGATTAAACCAACCTCCCATCTCTTCTACTATATGACCTTTTCCATTCCACTTCTATAGTAATTATTAAATTACCTCGAAACCCCCCCTAATTACCCATAACACAAACTCGGCTACAAAAGTTAAACGATTAAAAACTTCCTTGCCGCTCTATAGTTTTATTCCACGTACATCCCCGTTTTAAATTTCTCTTAATTGGAACCGGAAGTTGGGAAGAACAACAAAGTTATAGAGCTACTGATGCCCACCAATTTGACTGCTGAGTTCAAGCGTCTTCATTTCATAGCAAGTAATTAAACTTTGCCGGTTAAACGAGACCTATTCTATGTTGGATATCGTTCAAAATCGAAGACCAAGAGAAGTTGGTTATTATTAATATAAGTGAAGTTAGGTCGTTTGATGGTGGAGTCAATGAAGTGCGCTAAATTACCTCATTGTTAGTCAGACGGAAACTAGAGATTCTGTAGCCGTTACCGGTACATTACATTAAGTTTGTTTGGATTAAATCTAATATATAAAATTCTCGTGTCACAATGTTCGTTCCTATACTCCTCCGAAACGGCTCGACCGATTCTTATGAAATTTTCTATGCATATTCAATAAGTCTGAGAATCGGCTACTATCTATCTTGGGGTGTCCGCCCCAAAAAAAAAAATATTTTGTAGATTTTTTTGTTTTTAATTTTTTATGATACACCATACAAAATACATACAACCCGTAATTGTCACCTTTCTACAATCAACCCCTATTTTTTATTATTGTAGATACCTAGTTATTTTTATTGAACTAAAAAAATGTTTCCTACAAGTAATATACATGGCAAAACAACGTTTGCCGGGTCAGCTAGTATTCTACATGTCCTTATATTATCCCTTCTATATGGACTTATAGTGGTATATGATATTTAAAACATTGTCTGGTTTTTGACTTAATTAAGTTATTTTTGAGACATTGGAGGAAACAATCACAACTTACGTTAAGAAAAGCTAAGCATCAATAAATAATAAACAAAAAATAAAATTCTGGAAAAACTTTAGAGACATTAAAGAAGAAACATTGAAAAGATTTTTCTAACATCAAAAGATATGGTGGATATTTTGAAAAATCGATTTTCACTTAGCGACTACCTCAGGGCGTCGTTCCAACTTCCAATTGGCAAAGATGCATTCTACATTACTGCTTCTTGGCGTAAATCCATTCCACAAGAATCTGTTCACTGAAATATTGACGATTTTATTTGCTTTCTACGTTTGCTGCCTTGAAGCAATTTTTAATATATTTTGCAGAATATTACGTGATAAAACAATTAGACCACTTAGAAATTAATCTATATATGTATCGTAAATTTACCTGTCAGTATCATAGCATCTTGTACTTAGTAAAATATTTTACTAAGACCTGGGCCGTTGGCTACCGAATAGCGTAAGCGTTAATGTGTGTCTTTTCGTAGCACTGTCATGGCGTCGCTTATTGTATCCCGACTCACGCCTTTAGGGCCTAGGCTACCGACTGTTGACACGAGCTGTCATTTTCATACAAATTTAGTTTTCGACTTTCTACATACACTACTGTTAAGCCATCTTGGCTAGACCCCCTGGCTTTCGTGGGTTTGCTAGACTACATTTTTGAACGTCCTGTAAACTATGATCCATTAGTTAGAAATGTATAAATAAATCCAATAAAACCTTTATAAGCAAAAAAACTAGCACATAAATTATATTTTACCTCAATGATATTGTTGGTGACGAGGCTAAGAAATAAAATACTATTTTCGAAAAAGTGTGCAGCTGCGGAAGCAGTGTCGAGCGGCGTGTAGTGTGGTCAGTGACCTCAGGCGAATGAACGAGACGATAGCACACCACACGCTCGCCCGGCCCCCGCCCCCCGCAGTTGCATCACACTATTTATTAAAAACTAAACAAAAAACAATTTCTAATGCACAGATATTATTACGCATATATCACATTTCCATACAAAAGACAGTTAAATGAATACAAGAGTCGATTGAAATATTTTGAGCGAAATTATTCTCGAGTACCTTAGCATTTGCTGTTGGGAGAATGAAAAGAAAACGTCACATTTTAATATAACATTGAGATGTCTGTTACATTTCGTCGTTTCTTTGTTAGGTGTTGTATTAGGTATAGAATTTGTTTTTATTGGAGCGAACCGGGGAACGGAAATGATAAAATGTTCTCCTTTGTACAATCTCAAGTTTCTTGACGTAAATTGTAGAATATTTTATTAGAATAACTTCACTAACTGATTGTGATATAAAATCAATTTGTAAAGACGACGAACATCTTATTTTAACTTGAATTTAATAAACCAGTTTGCAATTCGACGGATTTTTTGGTAGTTATCGTCTATAGACTCTTCAGTCCAAAGGCATGTTTAATGATTCAGCTACGTATCCCTTTGCTACAGGTATGACGACAATTGACCATGTAAACGGTACATAATTATATTTAACAGACCGTTCTAGCAATGATATTTTAAAATTGGCCCTATATAATACTAATATTTCATTATTGTATTAACTATCTTATTAATATACTAATACTAATTCAAAAATAAAAAATAAATAAATTAGTCTGGCGCTACAACCTCTTTAGGTCTTTCTCCTCTTTTCCTCAGATTTCTGAATCTGTTTCAAGATCATTTTTAAATCTAATACGCAAGATCAACCTCCAGTGCCTGACACACGCCGTCGACTTTTTGGGTCTAAGACATGTCGGTTTCCTCTCGATGTTTTCCTTCACCGTTCGAGCAAATGTTAAATGTGCACATAGAAAGAAAGTCCATTGTTCCAACACTGCTCTGTCAGTCTCAATTCAAAAATACAATTTATATTTACTGGAACGCAATGAATAATCTGTTATATGTGTTCATTTATTTATTAATATCTCATACTTGAAGGAATCTTGAAGTCCGTTAAAACGTTTCCATAATAATAAATATTTAAATGAAAACGAATCGTTACTGAAATTCTCACCTTGTTGGATTACAGGTAAATTAGGTTTGTCCGAGCTAAACGCCTCGGTAATTTCGTTAGAGGGGATCCGCCGGAGATAATGATTTTACTTAATGTACTACTTTTGAGTTTTTATTAATTTCTACGTTGAGAGTTATCAGTTCTTATTTCAGTTAAGAGAAATTTTATAACTAGATGAATATAGCTGCATAATTTTTCTATAGGTTGAGGTCGGTAGGTAGGTAATTTGTCCTAATAGTCGAATGAAATAACGCGTTCATATGTGTTTTATAAATAGCATTGTTATTATTGTTAGATAGTTTGGTACATTACTGCCTTTTTTTACTTTTAATGGCTTCTGATCATAGCCAAGCCAATGCCGTTATTATCTACCATATAATGCAATATTTATAAAATAATGTGATATCAACATAAATCTGGAATACCTATATTCCTATAACATATACTAATATTTTAGTAGCAATTTTGTGTGGCAAATAAACTGTTTATACATTATATAGAGAAAATACCAGTTATTCCAGTTAAAGCCATGTTATTCTTAATAAAGTATGTTTGATTGACATGATTTACTATTTCATCGTCGCCATCACGTCAATACAGCAGACTGCCTCAGGCGGCCGTAGCTGCCAAGAGGCGACGAAAATCAAAAGGAAAAGTTTGACTCTTAGCGAATGCGGGTCACAAATAATCTCTTGTAAAGAAAAATCGGTTATAAATGCAATATTCATTTGATTAATTCCCAACAGCGGCAGGGCTGCATTCATGGAGAAGACCTGCCATATATCTTCGGAGCGCCATTAGTTGGTGGGTTAGCCCACTTCCCCACTAACTATACAAAAGCCGAAGTGGCTTTATCGGAATCTGTGATGTTGTATTGGGGAAACTTTGCTAAGACTGGGTGAGTATAATCGTTATCAAAGGCTCTTTAGTATGCAATTTATTATTAGGCTATGTTCACATGTAACGCGCGTTAACGCGCGTCAACGCGCGATCAAATTTGAAGAGCGTTCAGATGATGAGCGCTAACGCGCGTTGCGAGAGTACTCGTCAGTCTAGTTCGGTAGAACGTAGAAAATGGACGTGGAAGAGGCTATTATTTTGTGGTTATATTATAAAGAAAAATATACAAAAAGAAAACGTACACATTGGGTTCATCCAATTTTGAAAAAAAAATACAAATTATATTATATTTTTTATACAAATTTGCTATATTCCAACTTGCTGGCCTTTTTTCTACTTCATCGATTAGTAAGTCGATGTCAATATTTTCAATTTCACTCATTTTAAATCCGATAACAAAATATAATTACGAAAATTTACAAAATTACATGCGATCGCGATGAAAGCGCGCGCTCATGTGAACAGCAAACGGAATGTCCGTCATGTAATTTTGTTAATTTTCGTAATTTTATTAATATCAAAGCGCGCGTCAACGCGCGATCACCTGCGTCTAGAGACTTTTTCTCTGAGCGCCGCGTTGACGCGCGTTAACGCGCGTTGACGCGCGTTGACGCGCGCTCATGTGAACAGTTGTATGAAAATACCACAATGTCTAGTCGCGCGATTTGAAAACGCGCGTCAAGTTTTTGCCATCTGAACATAGCCTGAATGTAAGTTTTCTTAATAATAATAAATATGTCAAAGTCAAATTCAAAAACGTCAAACGTCAAAAAACACAATGTTTTTAACATCTATGATTTGGGTTAAATTTTTCTTATGAAAAAATATAAGGAATAATTTTATTTATTAACTCCTTAATTAGGAACCCAAATGAAGCCCAAGACAGCGACCCTATCCGAGCTGGAAGGCAAGACAGGGTCAGGATGAAGAACTTTGAGTGGACAGCTTACGAAGAAGTTCACAAAAGATACTTGAATATTGACCTCAAGTTGAAATTAAAAAATCATTACAGAGCTCACAGGTACTTCTTTCTCACTCGTGATTTTAAATGTGTTGTATGTGTGATAAAGATTTTAAATGTGTATTTAAAATTTTCAAGTAAAACATCAATTTATTAATTTGTTTACAGATTATCCTTTTGGCTGAATTTGATCCCAGACCTACATCGCCCTGGAGGCGAGGACGTACCACAATCTCACCACCAAATCGAACCCGAAGATTCCTCTTTACAACCGACTTTGAAAACTTTTACCCCGCCATTTAAGAAAGCTACAGAGATCGTATTACCAGACTCAGCTACTAAAATCCCCTTCTTAACAATGTTGAATGTGACAGTACCGATGAATTTTAATATAATCGGAATGACTCAGAGTACAATGACAGACGTTCACAAAACTGATTCACAGAGTACATCTACACCTGAAGATGGTTTTGCTGCATATTCCACCGCTCTTAGTGTCACTATAGCTATTGGGTGCTCGTTGCTTATTTTAAATGTTCTTATATTCGCTGGTGTCTACTACCAAAGAGACAAAACCAGGATGAACGGCCAAGGAGATCCAAATTCTCACCTGAAAAAACGCGTTGAAAACGGTCAAATGCCCAACAATATTTGCGGTGACTTAGAAAGCGCTCTATCTTTCCAAACTAGCCTTAAAAACGATCCCGCCACTATTTTAAGTCATCACCATGCACATTCTCATCACCAACTGCCACCACCTGAATTTGCTGACCTTCCTAGTAATAACGTTGCAGCGATGGCTACCTTGCCTCGGGCCCCTCCACCGCCCAAAATTGGCAAGAGTAACATAAACACTCTAGCAAGCGGTCAGTTGCAAGAGAACCAGCCACTTCTCTCGCATCAAATGCAGATGATAAATACAAACACATTGACAAAGAAGAACACACAACTGAACGCCAAGTCGAATGTGAGAATGGAGGAGTTGCGAGTGTGACGCCAGCGAGCCTGACTGCAGCGAACCGGCAGTTGCAGTGACGTGCACCATGATGAGATCGTGTGACTCCAGCCGGACCTTCTCAGGGGCGTAGATGATTACATTTAAAGCTCTTGGAAAGAAGGTGCCAGAACAATTTTAATATCATATCTGTTGAACACAGTGAAACAGAGATATAGTGTTTAAAACAAAGTTTAAAAGTGATGTGCTTAGTGATACCATATCTGTAGTGGACTGGGCAAACGGACAAAAACGATGTTGTAATCGATGTAAACTTTTGTAATATAGCATATAATGTAAAATGTTGTAAATATAGATACGGCTAAGCCATATCTGAGCTATGTACTCCTATAAGAAAATCTGTTGTCGAAAAAACTAGTCAAGTTAGATTTTGATTTGCTCAAAGAGGAGTTCGTGTTCCACGAAAATATTCACGTATTAGTAGATAATGACATTCTTATAATAGTTCGTGACAGATAGCATAATACATAGATCATAAGAATAAATACCATTTAATAACTGACTATATAAGATATAATAGAATTTTTTGATTTAATTAAAAGAACTATCAATGAACTAATAGTTATTGGTTTTTTAATGAGAGGGGTATTATTTTGAGATCTTCAAATGAAATCGCAAAAAGTTCTTACTAATTATTTTAACATAGACGGACCAATAGTGTTTGTAAATATGTATATAGATTTAGAAACGGATAAACAGGTTGTATGATCATGTTACCGGTATTAACCTTGTATCGAATAAACCCTTACTGACTGAATATTACTTACATTAAAATGTTATTTGTACACATTTTCTTTCATTGTATCCAATCGTCAATTTAAGTGCAATAAAATGTATGAAACTTTTTGTTTATTACTAATTTTATTCTATAGTCCCATTTCATTTAAAATAATAACAGATTATTTATTTTGTAAAAAATATCAACATTTACGCTTTAGATTCCTCATCGATTTAATTAGGTAAAATAAAAAAAAATCAACAAATTCCTTAACATAACAGATAGTCTAAGATGTTCCCTTCATCGCCTCGATGTCGCCAACATTACGATCGTGATCTGATCAGTCTATAAGTCTCGTTGGGTGCCCGAGACTGCGTTATCTGTAAATCTTAAATAGATATTAAATTCACACATACGCACATTTTTGCACACTACTGAATTGGCCATTATAACGTATATATATAATTCTGTCCCTCTTTAACCTTTTATCACGTTAATCGTCAAATACTATATTTTAATTTAAAATATTTAACGCTCATTCAATGGTTGAAACGAGCTCTTACAAATGTTATTAATATGATTGTGTACATGCACAAGTAATTACAAAACATCATCTTCTGAAGGTGTCCATAACCAGCCAATACGTTCTTCTTCCTTACATCTTTAACCTTTTGTGTATCATTTTTGTCTAGCTTATAAGCCTTACAAAACATTGAAAAAACCACTGATAACAAAAAAAATATGTTCTTGATAACACAGTTTCTATATTTGTAATACTAACAGATAAGTTAACAAAAGCCACCACATTAACTAGTCGATGTATTATCTCGATGATGTTATATTTTAGATTGTATTACTCCACAAGGTAAGTAAATCTGTATTTAGCTCTGAAGAATAATTTAGTGTTACAGTGGGTACATTATGTAATACGCTAGCTAGTTTCAGCTCACGTTATTATTTATTAACCTGGTTTTATCCCATTTTGTATTCCTAACGTTATACATTTCGCAGTTACCATCAATTTTTATGTAACATATATCTTACTTGTTTAGAACATATTGTTTTACCTAGCATTTGTGGATGGAAGTGGCTTAATAGTAGGTATACAATTATACTTCCGTTCTCTTGTTTTAACTTTGTATAAATCAAGGAATATCGAAAAAAATTAACTACTACTAAATTTTAAATGTAAAGCTGGATTTTCGAATAAATTATTCTGATTTTTATTTAAAAAAAAAGTTTATGGATTTTAACAGATAAGTTTGCAAGATAGTAAAAAATAATTACTGTAAATTTTTATTAACACTACTTATTATATGAGTTAAGTACATAATGTAAACTTACTTTTGTATGCCTGAAAGAAGTTTAAAAAATCTATTTATTTTCTTAAATTTTCAAACCAACCAATCATTTAACAAAGTCTATCATATTTATAGGGATAAAAGGTTGCTTATTAAACAGCTGAAGAAGATTCCACCTTTCTCTATTATCTCAGTAAGCTGCTAAGTAGGAAACTAGATAATGCTGAAACTGAAACAAACTTGACATGATTAGTTTTCGCAACTTTGAAATTTTGATGATACAAAGATTTTGCTTTGAGAGAATTATCCTAGTTTCTTAGCTTAAAACTTATCTGCTACTTGTATAATTTGGGTCTGTTAAGTTCAATACTGACCTGGCACATTTATGGGAAATATTTTTAGGTGCTGTTAAAGGAAAATACTGACCATATTCTAGTATTAGTTCCTAAGCTTTTACCATATATCTGTTTGAAAAGTAAATAGGCGTTTATATATTTTTTAAACTAATATTTTACTGAGTTATACGTCAACAATACGAATTAAAAATTCAACTCGAATATCAAGATAAAATTACTTTCAAACTATTACTATTTTTTAAACGTACTTCCATATTCGCATACTTCAATGAATATCTTTGAAATTCGTTGAATAAGAAAAGATTCATGAAGAATATTTTTTTACGCATAAATCAACATTATCTTTATGTCTTAAACTGTCACTATATTACTGAATAATATTAATAAAAATATGCCATATTTCATATTTAAATATGAAAATAAAATTATGAAAAATAATTATAAATACATAACTTCAATCCGGTAAAAAATTGTTTTATTATCAAATGTCTGAAAGTTATGTCAATAAAAGACAATACTATATGCCACATTGTTTTGGCACTTAGTGACCCACACTGAAAGACAAACACACAACTATTAATGCCAAAATGGTATATTTATAGCTATAGTACTTTGAGTCCAAATGGGTGACATTCCTTGCACGATTTTAACCTCAGTGTAAATTTGAGAATATACCAATACATGTTTTAAAAATCAATAACAATGTATAATTTTTTTTTTTAGATTTAATACATTTATTTTTGTGCCATTTCTGTAACACTATACACCCGACAATTTCCTTGGGGTTAAGTAAAGATGTCACAGTCCCTTATTAGTCGTAATACAATTAGCAAATGTGTTCTCTATCTTCTAATGGCGACGTGATAGAGACGGCGATAGTACCTTCGTCAATGTCCTTTCTATTGGATTAATGTCGTGAATGATTTTCAGCTCTGTACGGGAACTAATGGTTTTAGCTTCGTAATACCTCAATACATTTTGCCGGAAATTGAGGAAATATGTTTCGAAAGTAGCATGAGTTACGTATATAACATACGAAACGGTTGGCCTTTACCTGATTTTGATAAACCTGAGTGTACGAAAGCCCGTCATATCCGTCAATTCCGCCCATCGCACCGGGCACATTTCTGTGTATTTATTCATTTTTATTTATTTATTCCACATCATTACTCTATCTTTACAGTTATTACTAATTCGATAGAACGACACATTAATTATACCCACATCGATTAACCTACATAAAAAAAAACATTTAAAAAATATATTTATATACCTAAATCTTATAACTAATATAGTATAAATAATATAGGAAGCAACTCTTGTGAACTCGGCCAGTGTACAAACAAATAGGTCTACCTCAACAGAAATTCTATTTATTATATGTATTGCTCGCGTAGTGGCGCTTCGCTAACCAAGTTGAAATGTGCGCGCGGTCATCCAAAAGTTTAGGCTTCCGCCTCAGGTTTGTACTTGGTACCCGTAGACCCAGTCTCCCCATTATATCCAGATTATAAACCCGACCTCTATGTTAGATTAAACAGTATTTAGTGTCTGGTATCGATATAGATATCTATTACTTTAAAGCCGGAGTTTAAAAGCACGACGCTTGGGTTAAGTTCATCATCATCAGCCTGGCTGGCTTAATAAATTTGAATACACAACTGATAATTTGACTTTACCTCATTCAATAAAGCTATCCAGGACAACGACTAACAATATTCGGATTATACAAAAAAATTTTCATAATACCCTTTGCCGATTTAAATATCACGCGCGAATCTCGACTTTATTAAAAAAATCTGTGAAGTCACCTTCATTATTCAGCTTTTACGCGCTACGCTAAAACCTTTATGTAAATTATATCGCACATATATTAGCATGCTGTTAAATACTTGTTTGTGTATAGAGGGGTTGAAGTTATGAACTTTTTCGACCTTTCAGCAATAAAGTCGTATTTATTAAATTTTCTTATCATCCATTGCTTAGTGAATAACACATGTCGGAGGCTGTAAATTTCAATTTGAAGTTTCATTACCCCCAAATTGTGCAACTTTTTTCTGTGTTAGTTTCCTATAAAGTTTACTTTATTCGTCTAAGTATTAACGTGGATTTTTATTGGTGTACAGACCACAAGGTTGTCATTTTGTAATTTAAAAGGACATCAACAAATCTACGCCTATGTCCAAGGACAAGCTGTAAAACAGAAATCAACCGGCTTGCCGATTAATTATTAGTATTTTTTTTATTGCAAATTTTTTACTACTTCACATTTTTTATGTACTAGTATAAGTAATTACAGCAATAAAGGCTTTTATTATTATTATTATTAAAACAAATCTAAATGCGGAAATGGGTACGAAAATCCTATGTATCTATTTAATTAATTTGGGAATAGTCGATTTATCAAAATAATCAGTTTAGGGGTTTAATCCGAAACGCGTTTCAAACTACCATTTACAATTAATACGACACATGTATCCAGAGATAATCTTAATGAGAAAATAAAAAAACGTTCCTCAAGAATATTCTTGTCGAAAAGATTTAAAAAAATGTGTACGTGTACATACGTAAGAAGTGAAACTTCTTTATGACCTTATTTTTCGA